CAGGCAACCTTCTCACATAGGAGTAAAGTCAAAGATATCAGCTCTCTCACCCGGGAAGGATTCCAGAGCAGTCACTATTGGCTGCCAGGTCTATGTGCCCAGGTAAGAGTCCTGAGAATAGCGTATCCAGGGATAATATGGGAGCGTGCCAATCTTCAGAGTCTGAGGCAGCTCCCACGCTGATCTGTTCTCCGGAGAGGGCCTGGCTCAGCTGGAGAACTGCCCCTTCATGGTCCCTGAACGTACCTCCTCTGTTTTCTTGTGGTAGTAGGTAGGGGAGAAGTATTAGCCTGGACTAAAAAGACAACAGGAGACCTGGCTGCGTAGTGGGTTACATTTTGGTCTGCTGAAATTCAGCAGTTATAACCTACCAGCCTCCCACAGGAGAAGGGCAGAGCCGTCTCCTCTCCTTGAGATTTGTACCTTCAGAAGCCTGTGGAGAAGTTAGTACTATTCTGCTCCATGATTTGGGATCAGGGTGAAGACAGTGAGTGGGTGGGTGTGCAGTGGACAAGCATTTCTGCTGACTCCCATCGTCCTTCCTGCCTTGGCCTTCTTTTTCCTCCTTTGGACAGTCTTCCTTGCCATCTGCCAGGACCTGCTCACAGTGCTCTGTCTCTCTGGACCTTGAACTTAAGCACCTTCATTAAGGGAGCTCTGGTGGTGGCCTAGTGGTAAGAAGTGCTGCAATCCCAGGAGCATGCGGTTCAAATCCACCAGAGGCCCTGAAAGCGGAGAGTCAGTCATTCTCCTCTGAAAGCCTGCTGGAGGTCAGCTATGAGCTGATTCTGACGCCATGGCAAACAACAACATTCTGAAAACACTCTTTCAGTTAACATGCATTTGCCTTAATTCTGCAGGTGAGTTTCCAGAGTAAAGGGATTCTGATGCTCTCCTGGTTGCACTCCTTGTTTACACTGTGTACCTTGTTTACATTTGCTATCCACCTGAGTGAATAAAGAGGAGTTTTGTTATCTAGTAGCTGGTTTCCTTTGCCTCCGGACATCAACCAAGGACTCTGACCTCTCTGGATTGCAGCTTCCATATTTGTAATTCTTGTGGGTTAGATTAGATCAGTGTTTCTCAATCCAGGTTCCACAGTGGAATCATCAGAAGAGGTTGTGAAAGAAAACTGATGGCAGGAGTCCATCCAAAGCAGGCCAACAGCACCGGAACTCGGGGTGTTTGGTGGGGAGAGGGTAAGGTATGAGGATTGTTTTTAAAAGGTCCCATGATGATTCTAAGGTGTAGTCAGGTTTGAGAAAGTAAATACAGTTCACAAAATGTCTTGCTCTCTGTGAAGAGGAGAATAAACATAAGAGACGAGGGCATGGAAGTACTGGCCAGAGGTGGACAGGCCTTTAAACAATGCTTCTTGACTTTGGGACGACCACGAGGAAATGTGCAAAATGTATTATAGCAGAACCATATTATATATGTTGCAGAGTCATGTCCAACCCCCAAGTTTTATGTGCTATAATGTACATTATAGATCCAGCAGGTGGTTTGAACCTACCAGCTGCTCCACGGGAGAAAGATGGGCTATCTCCTCCCACGCAGTTTACAACTTCTCAAAGTCAGTTTCTACTTGACGGCACATAACAATAATACTCTAATATTAATGCTTAGAGCGAGGCAGGGATCACAAACATAATTGTTTCTAAGCCATTTACTTGCCATTGTAGAATGGCTTCCTTGAGGACTCTTGAGATATTTTTTTTTGGTATAGATTTTATAAATGTATAGATTTTCTTCTTTTTCTTTTAACAGGTGGGAACATTTCAGCCAATCACGCAAGAGACAAATAAGCTTAAGTCTGTTTGAAAGATCTGAGGAGCAGATTTCCTGAGAAAGCTGAATTTCTAAAGAGCTTTGACCCTGAACATGAATGGGGAATTCAAGGAGACGAGTGGGAGAAAGCCTATCTTCCTTCAGATAATCTAGAAAAAGAGTTAATACAGCAAACAGTTACTGAGATGGGAGTTAATAGCTGTGGGTAAAATTTTCCTTCAGAAAATCACAAAGTTAAATAGAGATAACATAAACAAGATAACTCTTAATTCAACACATCTGTGCTTTTACTTCTCCTTTGAGTGTCTCTGGTGTTTTAAAATTTTATTTTCCATTATAAACATATATCAAACACCATCTATCTATCCATTGTGAAGAAGAACCATTTCTGAAATGTTTTAGAGCATTTTGTTTGTATCATTACATTTGGCTTAACAAGAACCAGTTTTTAAAAACTAAAATCATTTTAAAGGGTTATATAAAGTTTATTATTTCAGAAGATTTACCACAAAAGTTCCTTTAAAATATGTGCATAAAACAGTAGAATTAAAATCTGCTCTACTTCTAGGAATTCATGAGCTGAGTCACTGTTGCTTTTTAATTTACAGTATCACTGGAACAAATTGTTTGCCTTTCAACATTTTTTGAGTTGTACAATTCAATGACAGTTACACTTAGCATTTGTTCAATCATTGATATTCTATGTTTTCAAACTTCCCCGGGACTCTTAAGAAAATCTCAGTACCCCTGGCCATAAAGAGCTCTTTTCCCTTCTCTCCCTCCCACATGGACACTGACTAATAAACTTGGTCTCTAAACACTTCTCCATCCAAAAGATAATGAAGTCCATTTTTTGCCAGGGGTGGGGGCAGATCTCCACTCAGGAGATTGGGTCAGAAGGCTTCTCATCTCAAAGTCTATTGAAAAAATTATTCCAACACATACTATTCAAAAGAGGTAAAAGAAACCCATATTATAGTATCGGAGCTGACTTTATGTGTTTCCTTAGTAAAATTACATCTTCATTTCTTCTTTTTCTTTTTTTGTACAGGGAATGATTTATTCGTTGCAAATACCTTTTTAATGTTTTCTTTTTTATTATTATTAATTTTAATGAAAATGTACAGAGATTTGGGATTTCCAGTTATTCACTGTTGCACTTGTCTCCCTGTGCAAGTCTCCCCTCCAGATCGTTCTTCTCTTTGAAAAGTAAAAGAAAAATTCTTTCATTGTTATACAATCCCTCTCCCCAAGCCCACTCCACTGTGCAGCCTTCATTCTGGACTCCTGTCATGACAATAATACCTAATCATATATCCCTTTTAAACACTTCTCTCTCTCATCTGTTTCTTCTTATATGAGATAGTGTAGAGCAAGTTGCGGAAAGCAGGAATGTAATAACTTGGCGTACTGAGGAAAAAAAAACCAAAACAACACTAGAGGTAGTATCTACCATTCCTAACCAAGTCATTCTTTAACATGTCCTTTGACGATGTCACGCTGAGAATTCTATACCTAGCTAATGAAGACATACCCCCAGAGTGCAATGAATGGCTTTTGTATGACCTTCCTCTCCATAGCTTATGACCTCTATAGCATGACTAGAGGACTTATAAACAAATCCAATGGGGATTCAAAGACTGCCAGTGATGCAAATAAGGTGCGGAGAGCCTCTGTCGTGGGATGGGACCACGGAAATAAGGACTACAGAACCCTGTTGTTGTGTATCACGGAGTCAGAACTGACACATAGCTGACCTTCCAGCGGGTTTTCAGAGGTAAGCAATCACACGGGAGGAGACTGCCCATCGTTCTCAGGCAGAACAGCTGGCAGCCTTCAACTGCGTGTGCTCAGGATTGCAGTGGAGCTTCCTGCCACTAGGCCACCAGAGCTCCCTACACAGAACCCTCAGGAGGGTCAATTTGGCCCTCTCACTAGAGTTAAAAGAGAGTCAATTCCAGAGCAGAGAAAGGACCTTGTCACCCCTAAAATGAACTGTTAGGAGCTGAGCATAACCCTTTGGGCACAAGGTCAATATCCCAGGTGAATCTTAGCCCCAGGATTCAGAGAGCTATGACATCATAGATGATGTAAAATGGCAAGAAGATATGGTGGCCACAGAACCAGGAAAACAAAGGAGCCATGGTGGAATGGTGGGCGAGCTGGCCCACAAGGCAGACATCTTTGGTCAGGAGGCTTGCTAACAGAGCTCTGTGGTGAAGGTCAGCTCACCAACTCACAGGATGAGAGAAGTGAAGCTTGTTAGGCCAAGACTTCTGGCAGAGTAGTGGGCCTCCTGGAACTTACGGGCGGAGCTAAAAGAGCTCAAGAGCACTTGCCATGTACACAGCAGAGGCCAGCCTGAGGGGCTGAGGGCCAAAGACGGAGAGAACTGTATGAAGACTCAGCTGAGAAAGGCTGTCCTGACTGAAAAAAAAAATGCTATCTTGAGCATTTCTGAACCTGATTTGTAACTTAGTACTTCTCTAATTAGCTCCTCAGTCATGAGTAGTGTCTGTGACTTCTGTGTGGCCATTGCAACGAATTTCCAAACTCAACAGAGAAGTAGAGTGTGCCATGGGAAGGACTGTCAGTGTCAGAGTTGGAAAAGTGGTTGGAGCAATGCTGTGTGAACTCCTCCTCATGAGAATCAGCTTTGCGTGGGCTGCTGCTTTCCTAAGTGATTCTTTCTCTGTCTCTCAGGAAGTTAGAAAAGGTCAGATGTTGCTGCTGCCACACCACTTTCATAAGATGCTCCTGACAATGTCAAGCACCTTGAGGCACTGGTGACATGCAAAACCCACAAGACTGTAGCACTCGGAGTAGCCTTTTATAAATGGCAACATTTGTCTACTGACAATTGTGACAAAATCTTCAGAAGGCAGACCACATGGTATTTAAAAGAGAAGCTGTCCCCGCCAGAAGAGAGGGAAAAGAAAAGTGACTCATTTCACAGTTTGTACTCAAGAAATGTGTCCTGAAAGAGGAAATTCTCTTTTTAAAATAGAGCTTTTAATGGGAGCTTTTCAAATCGAAGAACTAACGAAGCTCCTGCTGTCAACACTTCTGTGACTGCATCTACAGTTTTGTCTACAAACACATGGAAATCGGCTAAGTCCATGGGTTTTTGTTTTAGATTTGCTAGGAAACTGAGTAGCAAGGAAGCAGAATTGGCAAAATGATGAAAGGAAAAAGTCATGATACTTTACAGGGTCTCAGTGGGTGTCCAGTCCTATCACAATTTGGACCAATGACTTCATCTCTCTGGGTCTCCATTTCCATATCTGTAAAATGGAATAATTACACTCATCTCAGAGGGCCGTTCAAAAGACTGTAAATGATATACAATGAAATATTTTAAAAATATTAAAGCATTCTATAAATTATTTATAAGATTATGAGAATTACTTCAAATACTACTGAAACTAAGAATGGTCAGTACATTTTCTTCAAAATTACCAGATTAGACTCCCCTCCCCATCCCAATGTAGGCCCTTTTCTCTGTAAGTTTTAATAATAATAATAATTCATAGTACAATTATTCAGATCACAACTAATGTTTTTCTGGTATTATTTTGTCACTCTAGTAGTAGATAAAAAACTATTTTCACGATTTTTATTACTGTGTTCTTCCCTTTTAACATTCAGTTATTTTAATGATGAAAGAAAATAACGGCTATTTTAACTCTGAAAAATATTTTGCATATTCCAAGCAGAAGTGCAGCAAAAGTACAGGTCTCCAAGGGGCACATAGCCTGCGCTTGACTAGGAACCTAAAAGTTGGCAATTCCACCCTACCAGCAGCACTGAAGAGTTTGAGAGACCTCACTACCTACTGCCACAAGGATTCTATCCAAACCCAAGGCAGTTCTATTCTTGATTCTGAGATTGTTATGAGATTGACTCAACAGAAACAGGTTTGGGGTGTTGGTTTTAGGTTTTGTTTGCAATTGTGGCTATTTAGCAGAGAAGAGTTTGGATAGAAATGCTGACTAAAAGCAGGAAATTCTACTGCACCTCTATTCACCGCTGGTGAAGGACAGGCAAGCTCACAGGTGAAATGAGGTTTAAGAAGTGACTTTCAAACAGCCTGATCACCAATTACCCATCCTAAGGTCGACAGTCTCAAGTTACTTCTATTTATGAAGCAGAGAGTCCCAGGTTCACCTCTGGGGCCATCTCAGACAACACAGGAAGACATTTAAGAGATGGGATAGTCAACCGGAATTTCAGGAGCTCATTCCAAAGGCTCTAACGCACGTAAATTTAATTAAAAACACTAATCACAATCAAAAGACTATGTTGTCGCAGTGGTCAAGTATTCTCTTTGGCTTCTTTACATGTAACTCCTTATGGATGCATGCACACACATAAAACGTGTTCACACACATATGACACATTTATCTTTAAGATATAAATACATTCACATATAACCCACATACATCTAGGATAAGATGTATACACATATATATCCCATAAACATTATACATCGAAGAGACATATATCTTAAATGTATAATATTTATGTCTTAGGGAGAATGCATCAAGAGTGCTTGGGGACAAAGATGCAGAGGCTTCACCTCACATACTTCAGACATGTTGCTAGGACTGACTATTCCTTGGAGAGAGACATGATGCTTGTATAGGTAGATGATTGGTGAAGGAGAGGAAGACCCTTGACAGGGTGGCTTGACACAGTGTCTGCTGCAATAGGCTCTAATGTGTCAAGAAGTATGAGGATGACACAGGATAGGACAGGGTTCAGATCTGCTGTTCATTAGGTTGCTGTGGTCATACTTCATGGCACCTAACCACAACACACAATAGTACACACACACATCACTGAATTGTGGTTTTAGTGAAGACTCTTCAATATACACAGACTGACAAAAGGACAAGGAAATCTCTCTTGGGGAAAGTGGAACCAGGATAGTCCTTGAAGACAAAGATGGTGAAATTTTGTCTCACATCCTTGAGGATGTTACCATGCGGCACCAGTCCTTGAAAACCATCGTGCTAGGAGAAGCAGAGGGTCCATGAAAGAGGAAGACTCTCAGTGAGATGGACTGACAGAGTTACTGCAACAATGCGCTCAAGCATGGGGGATCTTCAAAGGATGGTAGAAGATAGGACAAGGCGTCAATCTGCCGTTTACAGAGATGCTATGTTTATAGTGGACTTGATGGCACCTAATAAAAACAATTTCACATATCTGAATAAAGGTACAGAGAACAAAACTATTTTGACTTGTAGAACATGAAGAAAACACATTTTTAGTGTTTAATCAAAATGTTTTCATATAAAAGAAACTGCATATTGGAGAATAGCAGGAAAGGTCTAAATTAATTGCAACTGCAAGCATTATTTACAAAATTACCACCAGGCTGCTGTGTTTTCCCCACACCCTAAAGATACTGCAGAACATTCATCAATAAAACGAGTAGCATGCAAAGCTCTGAATTTAAGGAAACACTTTGAAAAGAGGTGAATAAATGTCAATTATTTATATAATCATGACAAACATCCTTATGAATATTGTCATACACATTTTGAAAGATAATTGGGGTTTGGTTTTGCTTTGAAAGGCAACTAACAGCACACTCACTGAAGAGTATTCTGTCTGAACCACTTCCAGTAAGTGCTACAAAACATGTTAGGTCATAAATTGTCTATTAATTTCCCTTTTCCCCAGAGACAGGCAGGAGGAACCTGTTTAGGTAGCGCTGGGAAGTCAGCCGTAGTTCCAGTGTCCATAAATGGGCTTCCTGAGTGTGGATCTGGTTGGAGGAGAAGCTGGAAATTCGTCTGAACGCTGTGCTTGCACAAGTGTGGCGGCAGCTGTTGTTGGTAAGTATCATCATGTTAAGTATGACTCGTAGCGACCCTGTGAACAACAGATCGGAACCCTGCCACCCTCCTCATCTCTGGGTCGCGCGCGTCCACTGCTGCAGGCACTGTGTCAGTCCATCTTCCTGGCGGTCTTCCCCTGTTCTGTTGGACCTCTACTTCACAAGTATTTAACGGGTATTCAAAGAAGAAAGGCAACCAAGGGACATGGGGAGCAGGGAGAAGGAGCTGCAGGGACTCCCATCATCTCGGTGCACCACCACCCAGCTAGAACTCACTCTAGATCCAAGCACAGCAATGGCGGGAAATCACTTATGAGTCACAAAAATGAATGACAAAAGTGCAGAAACCCGCATCGGCATCACTGACTTTATGAATTTTCCTGGCTTCTAAAGTTATAACAGGATGGGGCCCTCTCCAATAGATTAACACATGAGAGGATAAGCTGAATCAAAGACTGTCTGCGATGAGTGGAAAAACAAGGTCCTTCACGCCCACAGACAGCAGCTCCCCCAAACTCAGAGCGATCAAGACTGTAGACAGAGCAAGCCGCTCATGGAGAGAGCACCTGACAAGCAGATCAAGTGAGGCTCCCCACAACCCACAGGTCTCTGACAAGAGTACAGGAAGTCACAAATGACAGAGCCATCAACACTCAAACTGAAAGGTAATCAGTTTGCAGACTAACAACAACAACAACAAGCCATCTCAGTCTTAGCTATATAAGCGGTTTATCTGGCCTTCAGAGTCAATGCTAACAATACGAAATCGATCCTACAGAACAATCTTGAGACAAGAATATATGTGTTAAGCCCTGAGGTAAAACTGAAATTTCTCCCTCAGGTCATTTTCACTTCGTGAAGGAGTTCTTGGGGTGGTACAAACTGCTAACGTGCTCAGAAGGCAACTGAAAGTATGAAGGACTCAGAAGAGAGATCAGCCACCTACTTCTCCAAAAACAACCACTGAGAACTCCATGGCGTGTAGTGTTTGGACACACTGAAATCACCAGCAGACAGTGGACTCGAGGCAACTGTCGTGAAGGCATGAAGACGCTCAGTCTACTTCAGGGAGGATTAAGAACAGGACTGGAGCGTCTCAGACACAAAAGGTCTAGTAGACATAAGACCAGTGTTGTAGGAATAGGATGGGAGTGGGGACAGGAGAAGAATGACAAGATCGTGCACTGGAATAGGGGAAGGGAAAAACTCTGAAAGGAATGGATGCTTAGACGTCAGATGTTTGACAGTCATCTGGAAGAAGGCTTATATTACTAAGTGCATTGGGGAAAGGTGAAGGAAGAAAAATATGAATGAAAACTCACCTTTTCTGTAAACTTTCAGTAGAGTCACAATTATCATTTTAATTTTACAAAAAGCAAGGCTTTATGAATGAAACAATCAAAGGGTGTTGAAGAAACTGTGTAGAAGGGAACATGAGGAAACTAGGCTGGGACAGTAAAGGAAGACTCAACAGAAAAAGGGGTGTTGAGAATGGGCTTTATTTAAAGGTATTTTAGGGCACACAGAAAGAATTGGCCAATGTGGGAGATGGAAGAGGCTTGACCTCATCTGAACATGGGCTCCACAGATGCTCTCGAGGTCCCTCACTGAGGTAATCACCAAAGGATTCATGGTAGACTTTCTACAAGAGCCCTGGGCCACCTATTCTCCATGATGCCTAGGCACTAGTACAATATAGACATATGGAAATCATCGGGGTACAAGAGGAGGTCAGAGGCACAAACTTGGAGAGTCCTACACATGTCAAAGTCAGAGGACAGACTTGCACTGTACTAGCAAAAGTCAAGAGCAGAAATGAAACCAAAGGGTGATGCATTTCGTGTAACTAGGTTCCTGTCACAAATAAATTATCTGATGAAGAGGTTCTGATACGAAGCTTCTAAAAACCATCCTGATGAATGTTAGACATGTTGCAATAGCAAGCCACTTGAGATAGAGGCTGCCAGGGAAATGTTTTCTTCTCTCTCTCCCTGTTTTCTTTTTTGGCCAAGAGAAGTTAAAGCATCAAGATCAAAGAATAAAGTCAGAAAAAGTAAAGGTTGTTTGTTTGGCTTTTAAGAAACAGAAAGTAATTGTGGGAACTGATTCTGGTGGCCACCATGCTATAAGGGCTTTACTAATGGGCTCCTGGGACTTGCCGCCGTTCTGATTCAGAGTGACTCCATAGGACGGAGGAGAGCTGCTCTGGAAGCCTCCGAGACGATAAACCTTTATGGAAGCTGCCTGCCCCATTTTTCTCCTGCAGCGCGGTAGCTCAAGGGTTCAAAATACAGACCTTCCAGTCATCACCTGAGCACTGAACCATAAGAGCCCATGATTCTACAAGACAAAAGTAACTGGAAAAATGCAAGTTAGGACGCTGGAGAATGCTTTTTGTCTGTATACTTTTACCACTATGACTCCACAGCACCTAAC